CTTGTACGAGAAAAACTTTGGATAAGTTAAAGTGTCAGAGGTAGACTGACTAGATGTATGACAATTAGAGAAGCTCTTCATGCACGAAAACTATGCTCAACAAAAACTTCTAGCGACCCTGAGCTAAAAAAACTGGCATTAGAGTGATGTATCATTATCCCATAAATTTCGTCATTTCGTTGTAGAGAGCAAGTACAAGAGCTGCACCAGTTCCACGCATTGCATTTATCATAGCACCATGGAAAAATGCTCTCATTCCTTCGTTAACGTAGATGTACTGGAATTTCAAAACTCTGCCACACTAAATATCAACCAAAAAAAAACTTTGGGAACGTTTCTCCAAAGATTTTGATGCTGTCAACAATAATCAATGGATCAAAATCCAACTTTGAAGCGAATGAATCAATTTACCAAAGATCTAATCCAATAGCATCGGTGGAAAAAAAAGAGTTTGACACTAACCCTGGCACAGTCAAGTGTTCCTTTATAAAAGAAATCTTTCTTTCCTGCTCCCATCATAAGTCGTCGTCTGATTGTATCCAATGGGTAAGAAAGCATTGCTGCCACAAATGTCACGACCTACTCATGAGAAAGTCAATTGGAAAATTTGTACACCAGCTATAAAATCTTACCTGTCCAGCTGCAAATGCTCGCCAAAAACCGAGGGTCCGTCCATCCTTAGAGATGTAGGGTTTCGCAGTGTCAAAGAGGCCATAGTAAGCACCTCGGTATATGATGATATATTGGAGAGAAGGCAGGAGACCTCTGCAGTGATTGAATATACCACCTCGAAGTAAGAAAATGTATGTCTTATGAGAATGAGATTGTAATAAGTAAGACACGATTTATTTTCATTTTGATTGTGTGGACTCCGTGTCCTTTTTCTTGTGTTCTATGTTCCAACGTGGGTTTGGTGAGTTTGTGGAGCACTAACCCTCCGATTTCTGTTTGCTACAGCGCACGTTATGTGCATGAAGATAAAAGATAAAAAAAGTAATACATGAACAGAGATAGACAAAGCAAAACCCACTTGTACATTCCAAAAATGCCGTCATGCCTAACTATCTTCTTTACGCAGTCATACATACCTCTGAATTCGCGGTTCTGAAAACTCTGGATAGACTTCGGCTATGTACAATAGACACGGCTACCTTCTTCTCTTTCCCCAAATCGATAGCCAATCTCGTACGAATGAAATCAAGAGGATAAATTATACAAAATGTTGTGACACCAGCAGCAGAACCGGCGGCGATGTTTCCTAAACAAACAAGAATCAAAACTGAACGACTACTGAGAAAGCTTGAGTTACCAAGTAAGAAGCGATAACGGTTTTTCTCAGCGTCAACACCACCAAGGCTCCAGATTTTGAAAAAATCTTTGAAAGCAAATCCAAGCGATTCCTTTAAAAAGCAGTCGAAAAATGCAGTGAAATAAGCTAAAAAATAACGGACCTGACTACATGACCTAAGAATGTTGACCCAATTGCCTCTCCAGAATGACAGGATTCCTTGTTCTCTCGGAACACGAAGGAAACAATCAATTACTCCTTTGTAACGCTTTTCAGGTGGTAACGTCGTTTGTGCAGTTTGTAACTGAATTATAAATCAAGAAGATCAGAGCGATACTAAGTAGCCGTTCAAACAAAATCTGATGAAAAGTAGAAAAAGAAAAATTATCTTGGCTGATCTTATGTCATCTCAAGTAAAAACGCCCTTCTTTGACAAATGATGGCTATTAACAGCAGCACACCTCCAAGTCCAGATAAATGTTGATTTATTCATCTACGTGTTTTTCTAAGGGAGCCGTCAATCATGATCACTTCTTCGATAGTATAGGTTATGACAGGCACAGCTGCTCATATTGTCTTACAATTACAGTGGGAATGAAAAAAATGCAGCTCTACCGAATTTTTGGATTATCCAATTGCTCAAATAATCTGGAAGGTTATTAGAACGTGCAAAGCGAGTATGTTTAGCTTCAAGCGGAAAAGATGTTGGAATCAACACCGTTTATTCAATCCTGGACCTCCCAGATAAAGCGAAACCTTGCTTCCGGAACAATTACACTTAAACAAAGATTTCTTATGGAATATTAAGAGAATTTTGAGCTTAATGTCAAATCTCAAACACTTGCAGCCAAATAAAATGAATGTGAGTATTCTATCAGCCTCAGCTGACATTCGCCCCCCCCCCTTGCAGATAG